TATATCTGAAATTCTGTCCTCACATTGGCTCATTCTGCTGTGTAGACTTTCAGTGAAGTTTTTAATCTCCTGGAAATCTGTTTGTATCTTTCATGGATTCCATTTGTTTCCTATGTTGGGATGCCATAATGTTCCTCAGCTCCTCTATTTTTTTTTTTTTTAATACCAGGGCTCGAACTCGGGTCCTTGTGCTTGCACAGCAGGCGGAAAAAGCACTGAGCTAAATCCTCAGCCCAACTCCTCTATTTTTTTATCTGTGTCCTCTAGAATTTTTAATCATGTCTTGCACTATAAGCACAATTTCTGCTGTTATCTGAAAAATTATTTCTAATTTCATTTTTTCCAGATTTCTTTTGTTGCCAGTTCAGGGAGTCCAGGTGGTGGTTGAGTATCAGATTGTTCCATCTCCTTATCCTTTGGGGTTGTTGTAGGTGATCTGGCAGTCTGTTTTTGTGGCTTGTTTATGTGTCTTCTCATTTCCATGCGGTGGGGAGGGTGCTGCCGCCGCCCATGCGGCTTACCTCCTTTGCCCTGGGAGTGGTGGAATGGTGGCCAGGGATCTTTCTCCTGGGTGCTGGGATTGGCTCACCTCCTCTGCCCTGGGAGTGGTGCAATGGCAACTGGGGAGCCTCCTCCTGGGCCCTCCTTGGACTCTATTTTCATTCAACACAGAGTCATCTTTTTATTATAACATGTTTGCAGTTTATATTTACATTCATCTTAAAAAGTAAGTATATGCACTTAACATATCCTAATTCTTTTAGTCCCTCTTCCCTTCCCCTCCCCTTCCCTCTTTCTGTTTCTAGATCCCCTTCCAAATTTTCCTTTGATTCTTTTTTAGTTCATGTTTGTGACACATGATCACAGTCATTGTGGGTAGTTAGTGTGTTTACAGATCTCAAGTCTTTTCATACCCCCTCCCCACTAGCACCCTCCATCTCTTGCTCCCCTTTCCAGTGGTGAAAGCTCTATCTTTTTGTTTCCTTTTTCTTTTATATTGCTCTTTACTTTGTTTAAACTTGGGATTTCTCATATGAGAGAAAACATATGGTATTTTGTATGAGACCAGATTGAAACCACACGAGCAGCCTTTAGATATTATTGATTTGGCTTATGAATTTGGCTACTGATTAAAACTATGACTCACTCCAAGGCCCCAGTGTAAATTGCTAATTGACCTTTGGACACCATATGGAGACAGATTTCCTAAGCTAACAGTCACAATTGAGGTCTTAATAATCAATGAGGTTGTGACATCTCTAATAGCAAGGAAACACTGTAGCTAAGGAATTATGACTCTGTGCAACCATTCTCTAAGAGCAAACATGAGCTAAGATAATGCCGGTGGCTCATTAGCTATGACATGCAAGATGGCACAGGTGGCTTGTTAACTGTGACCTGTTCCTTCACAAGTATTCCTAGTTACTCCCTTTTTCCAAGCCTAGCTCATTAGTGCATCAGTTCTGCTACCCCTTACATCTGCCTTCATGCCCCCATGCTATGTTGTATAATTACAAATACTGACTAATCCAGAGCCCATCATCTTGGCCAGGAGAGAACTAAAGATAAATTCCAGGGCCCTGAAGTAATAAAATATTATTCTTTATTCACCATTCCTTGTTCTTTGTATATTATTCTTTCATCCCCTGCAGCATTCTCATCAGGTGACTGGGCATTGAGTTGAGCTAACATCCTGACAGCAAATTGGTCAGTCTATCAACCCATTCAACTGGTACCCAAACAGGGACTTTTATGCATTTATGGCCAGATTGAAGAAGGTGACCTAGAAGGGAATCCATAGGAGAGGAGAGACAGCAGTGGACTTCGAGGAACTACAGGGATGCCCAAATGAGGGAGCCAGGTAAGAGCTCACCTCTGTGGAGAAATTCTTAGAATTCTTAGCTGGGAGTAAAACTTGAGGAAGATACATCAGCTGACAAAAACAGGTATATACAGCTGCTCTGCATTTGGTTAAAAGAGTCAGGAGCAAACACTCCAACCAATAGCCTGGCTAAGATCAAAATTAACCCTTGGTTCCCCCAGGCAGGCACTTTAGATTTGGAAATTTGGGAACAGATAAGAAAAAATCCTCTGCCTGCGCTCTTGTAATCCAAACATGCCCAGGAGAAACAAATAGCTGTAGACACTTTCTCAGCATGGAGCCTTGTAAAATTAGTGCTGGGGCTCCTGTGTGCTGTGACTGCTTTGGCTACAGCAGCTCCCCCTGAGAAGGGAGAGAAGGACCCTGAAAAAGAAAAAAGCAAAACCCTCTCATGGCCCACATGTCCAGAGATCCCTGAGGCTAGCAAAAACAATCCCTGGTTATTACATATCACAACTTAAAAGATTCCATCAGACCCTATTGTTTTCCTGTTACAGTTAGACAAGATATACATAAACACCAAAAAATAAAAATAAGGTTTTAAAAGAATTAAAGCAGAGTATGATACTCAAGATCTGAGCACAAAGACGACATGCTGTGTTAAAACCCCAAAGCCAGCAGCTACAGACTGCCTGCTCCATAGGGCACAACAAAGAAATGTGATCTGCTCAGCAGGACAGCCCCAGCCTGCAGCTAAACGACAAAAGCCAGAGAAGCTGCAACCACATCCTGCATCCTGTTGGGCAGGGGGAAATTACAGAAAAAGATAAATTACAAATTTAACTTTCTTATACATTACAAGTTCTTAAAATAGAATTACAGGGTTAATTTAAATTCAATGTTGTTTAAAGATCTACTACCAGCCAAGTTTGTTATAAAAGCTTTAAGTGGCTACAACCAAGTTCGTTCTAAAAGGTTCATAATAAGTGAGACAAAAAAATATTAAGGCTATAAATAAAAAGAGATATACTTTTTTTTGGTACTGGGGATTGAACTCTGGACCTTGAGCTTGTGAGGCAGGCGGCAGCACCTCTGAGCTAAATCCCCAGCTCAAGAGATATATTTTTGATGTAAAAAAAATTTTAAATGATAAAAGTTTTGTGTTGTTAGAAGGATAAAACAAGAGATAATAACAAGGCTAAAAAGCTTACATATGTCAAGAAAAAAAATGCAAAGGTGATTTATCAAAGAGAATATATATGTTTGATTGTTAGTTTGGTGAAAGTATATACATGGCTGCTTGTTACTTTGATAGAGCTCAAAGTGTTCTTAAAACAAAAGTACTTGAGAGAATGATTCACATCACAAAAGAAAAAAAGAGAGGCTTTAAAATCCAAGTGGTTCAGGTGCGAACAGCTGGCCCAGGCTAAAAGACAGGTGCTCCAGAGCTGCCAGCAGCCATGCACAGCCAATAACTTACAAGATCAAAATTGATTTGGTTGCTGGTGGTTCTCAACAAATATAAACAGCTCTTTTATCTCACATACATCATTTTAAAGACTAAAACATGAGTTTTATTGCATAGAATCCCCCAAAATGAATAATTGTCAAATGTGCCCAACAAACTTTAAAAGCACAACTTTAAAAATAGGAGTACAGCTACTTCCACAAGCTCAATTAAATCTTGTTATTTTCATTTTAAATTTGAAAACATTTAATATGAAAAGTAAATATACTCCATTCAAACTCCATTGGCAAAAGGACAAATCTACAGACATGCCCTCTATACAAATGTTATGAAAGGATATCACTTTTGTCTAACACCTTTGCCATATAATAAATCTATGCATCCTTGGGAACATGTAAAGAAACATGTTCAAGGGGCCATCCATCAGAACATTACTATTGATATTGAGGCTCTCCAAAAAGAAGTTTTATCCATGTCCCAACAAACTCAGGATTTTGATGAGCAAATTCAGAATTGAGATCAATTTTCTAATGCTCTTAACCAACTAAATCTCTTTATCTTAAAGCATACTTTTGGCTTTATATTGGAATGCTTTGAGTCATTGGGATTCTTCTTCTGCTTTTATTAATAGCATGACATAGAGGAACCAAGACGGACCACCATCTAGATGCAATGCAGCCTCTACTTGCCCTGATTCAGCTTCTGCAACTTCAAAAACAGAAAGGAGGAACTGCAGGAGACCAGCTTGAAATGGCAGTAAGAAGGCTTTAAATATTATTAATTTGGCTTATGAATTCAGCTACTGATTAAAACTATAACTCATTCTAAGGCCTAAGTGTAAGTTGCTAATTGACCTTTGGATTGGTGTACGGAGATAGATTTCCCTATACCAAGGGTAACAACTGAGGTCTCAGTGATCAATGAAGTTGTGATGTCTCTAATAGCAAGGAAACATTGCAGCTGAGGAATTGTGACTCTGTCCAAACATCTCCAAGATCAAATGTTAGCTAAGATAACTCAGGTGGCTCTTAGCTATGACCTGAAAGATAGCACAGGTGCCTTGTTAACTGAGACCTCTCCTTCACAAGTAAGCATACATAGCTAATCCCCCTTTAACCAAGCCTGGCTCATTAGTGCATTAGTTCTGCTATTCCTTACATCTGCCTTCAAGCCCCCTTGCTGTGTTATATAATCATAAATACTGACTAATCCAGAGCCTATTGTCTTAGCCAGGGTGTTCAGTCAGGAGAGAGCTAAAGAAAAATTCCTGGCCCTCCATTCCCTGATCTTTGTACATTGTTTTTTCATCCCCTGCTGCATTCTTATCAGGTGACTGGGCAACCTCTGGTAATTGGTCAGGCCATCACCCTGACAACAAACTGTTCAGGGTGTCAACCTGAACAGTATTTAAAACTATGTGTCTGATTTATTTCATTTAACATTATGTTTTCAAGTTGCATCCATTTTCCCAGAGATGACTCAAGTTTATCCTTCTTTATAGCCCAGCAGTAGTCCATTATGTATGTATACACCATATTTCCTTTGTCCATTTTTCTGTTCATAGATATATAGGTTGCTTCCAAGATTTAGCTATCGTGAATTGTGCTGCTCTTAACATGGGTATGCATGTATCACTGTAATATGATGTTTTAACTTTTGAGGAGATACTTAGAGGGAGAATAGCTAGATCAATTGGAATTTCTAGGTTTAGCTTTTTTGAAGAATCTCCATACTGACTTCCATAGTGGGTATACTACTTTACATTCCCATCAACAGTGTAGAAGGGTTTCTTTTTCCCCACACCCTCTCCATCATTTGTTATTACTTGATGTTTTAACAATGGCTATTCTTTCTAGAGTAAGACAGAATCTCAATGTTGTTTTAATTTGCATTTCTGTAATGGCCAGTGATGCTGAACATTGTTGCCTGTGTTTATTGACTATATATACATCTTCTAAGGAGTGTCTATTCATTTCACTTGCCTACTTTTTTTTTTTCATTTTGGGCCTTTTATTCAGGGGGTCTAACCTTTTTGAATTCTTTATATATTCTAGCTATTACCCTTCTATTGAGGAGTTGTTTTCTGATTTTGCCAGAGACCTGAGGTTTATTTCCTTTTGCCCTTTTCCATTAGTGTCCCCTCTCTCCATGAAGGACACTGACAATCATAGGTAGGGTGCTTATTGTTCCATGTACCGCACCTCTGTTGTATGTGGAGCAATAAGTGGCTTATTAACTTATATTATGCTTTGACATGGTCTGTGTTGAGGAGAGCTTCTCTCCTGGTGTCTTGACAACTGCCAGGTCTGAGGGAAGGAGCACCAATGCATGGCTATGAAATTGTTCCCTGCTCTGTTTTCAGTTTCTTTGAGTCCCTGGGCTGGAGAAGGTGAATTTAAAAACAAGGGAATCTAAGATGATAAGGGGAAAAGGAAGTGGTCACATGATGACTTCCTCACACATTACAGCCTGAGGCATCATTTTATAAACATTCGTTCATCCCTTCCTCTCTTAATTGAATCAACAAATATTTATTCGGAATCCATTTTGTGCCAGGTGCTCCTACTCTGTTTTTAACATGAAAGCAATGTACACATGCAAACCAAGAGCAGACTTCTGAGGAACATGCTAGGAACCTGTACTTTTTAAAAGGTTTTATACCCTGGTCCTCAGATGGATGCTGGGTGGCCACTTCCTGATTGAAGAAAAGACATGGCATGGACTGCTGCTTCCTGGCCTAAATGAAAGTGATATTGGTTGAATTCTGAAGATGAGGCCACACCACAGAACTTTAATCATAACTTACAGGAAGATAAAGAGGATGTGACCATTAGACCAATAGAAATCTCAGGTTTCTCAGCAGGTGGACCACAAACCGAAACAGAGGCCAAAGCAAATGCTAATGAAGAGTGCTCTTCTGGAATTCTCTTAAATATGTGGAACAAATTTCCAAGAATTACACACAAAAAATTCTGAACAGAAACTTCAACCTCAAGATTCAGAGGGAGAAAGAGAAAATACTCCAGAAAAGATAAACTGAAGAATGAGAAAAAATTGCGTAGTTCTTAAATGAAACACAATGGAGGAGCTTACTCAGGACTTTGGAGCCAATGATAGATTTGAACCCACTGTTAAAAAGAAGCAGGTTGACATGTCAGGGCTTGGAAAGAGGATAGACCAGGCTGTGGAGGAATGGAATGCTGAGAAGGCCGAGGAGCGCAGCAACCAGCTGAGAGCTTGGTGTAAAAAATTGCCAAAGCAATTGGCTGCCACAGTGTATAAAAGCCAAAAGGGAGGTTGAAAGCTCACAGACTGCTCAAAAAAAAAGAAGAAACTCACAGTGGGGTTTGAAGCAAAGAAGAAATGGGAAACAAAAAGCAACATGAGATACAGATAAGTGGGCAAAATTCTTCAAGACACAGGTAGACCTGTGTACTTAATTTAGGAAAAGATTTTTCTGGGTAGGTTAACTATGTCAGGAAATTGATAGAAGTAGAACAAAGTATGCATGAATCTTGGGAGATGATTATCAGCTCTTTTCAGTTTTTTTCTAAGGCGTTTATTCTATTGAAGAGAATGAAATGAAGTATTTTGTTATTTATGTAAGAAATCTAAGCATACGTACAGGAAAAGAAGGTAGGATCTTATTTATTTGTATAGACCTACAGGATAAAATCAATTTTGCTTTTTATCTGTTTGGTATAGCATTAAAGTCCACAGGTCCATGTGCTTTCTCATCTATTCTTGGCATAGCTGAGTTTTTTCTGAAATTATGGGGGTTTTTTTGTACTGGAGATTGAACTCAGGACTTTGTGCTTGTGAGGCAAGCATGGTGCCACTGAGCTAAATACCCGGCCCTGAAATTATGTTTTTAAGATTGGCTTTTGTTTAAAATGGATTAGTCATAAGTGCAAAAAAATCTGTTGATGCTACCTTTCCAAATGACTGTAATTACCTTAATGCTATAAAAACAATTATTGATTCTTTATTGGAAGCAGTGGCATTATTTCCTGTATAAAAGCAGTTGATTAATTTGTGTACCTTCAGAGGTAAAGATTACAAGGAAAGAGGCACAAAATATAGTAATTGGAGGCTCATTTAAATTCAGCTCTGTCTAGAATGTCTTTCTATATCTTTCAGTCCTGTCAGTCTTTAAATTATGAGATGGTTCTTAGAAGAAAAACACTCATAAACTAAGGTAACTGAATCATCTAAGAATTGGTGTGTTTTTACTACCCTTCCCAGTTACTCCTTAAAAAAATTAAATGAAATATTTATTAATAAAGATAAGAAGAAAAAAAGGTTTTACATCCCAACATGAGTATCTCTAATGGGACTGACTGGGGATATTTATCATTTAAATAGTAAACTTTTAGTTATTTATTAGACGATTTGTCACTTTCCTCCTATTTTCCTTCCTGCTAATGGACCAAATTAGTATTTTTTTCCTGTTAAAAGTACATATGTGTGGGCCACGGATTCAGCTCGGTGGTTCCGGCGCTTGCCTCACAAGCGGAAGGTCCTGAGTTCGATCCTCAGTACCAAAAAAAAAAAAAGTAGGTATGTGCCCTTGTAAAATATGAAAACATTGAATGGAGGATGAAAATGTACATTATCCACAACCTATCTCCTCATATAAATATTGCTAATAGTCTGTTATATTACTTTC